TAAGAGACTTTTTTGAATTGTAATTTTGTGTTTGTAATTCTGTGCCGTTTATTTAGTTATTGTTAAATGTTATTGGTTTATTGTATGTGGTTATTGTTCGGGACGAACAATACTAAGGAGGGGGCAGTGTTGCGTCATCGAGTCACATGACTACTATGACGCAACGTTTCTAGAACTATCATGTACTTTGGCGAATGCTCTAGTGTTTGCTAGTTAGGGTAGGCGGGTATATATAAGAGGGGACAACGTGACGCGAGGAGTTTGTAATGTAATGTGTGTGTAGACAGTGAGTAATTGAACTGCAGTCAGAGAGCACGAGAGACGTTCGTTGATTAGCGTTTGTTTTAACGCGATTGTTGAAGTTGAGTGTATCGGTAAAGTTATATTCGGAAAGAATAAACCAGTTTTATTAAGTAAAGACTTGTGTCGCTTAAGTTTCGTCGGTACGAAGTTACGGAAAATCAATAAACAACGGTGACGTAACAAATGTAAATAAAACCCAAAGTATGTCATTATAACGTGCGATGAAGATTAAACCAAAATAGAAAATTAACCCGCTGTTTGGAAGTTTATTAATTTATTGAATCAATTAATAGATTTATTCTAACAACACTGACATGTTGTGCTATAGAAATAAGTGTCATTGACATTCTTTCTTGGTTGTACATCGATAAATACTGTTACCTCTTCGTTTGTTAATTAACTTTCCGTAACTTCGTTCCGACGAAACTTTAGCCAGTCCTTACTTAATAAAACTGGTTTATTCTTTCCGAATACAACTTTACGATACACTTATTTTCAACAATCGCGCTAAAACAAACGCTATAACGAACGAACGTTAACTTCAACAATACCCTGTGACTGCAGTTCAATTACTCACTATCTACACACACATTACATTACACTTTCGTCACGTTGTCACCCTCTTTTATATACCAGACTACCCTATATCTAGTAAATACTAGAGCATTCGCCAAAGTACAGGATAGTTCTAGAAAGTAGAGGGCGTGAGAATAGTCACGTGATCTCGATGACGCAACAATACTTAGATGTAACGGTCTTTGTACTTGTTTAGAATTTTGGTTTGGTTTGTTTTGAATTTCGAACAAAGCTACACGAGGGCTGCCTACGCTAGCCGTCCATAATTTAGCAGTGAAAGACTAGAGGGAAGGCAGCTAGTCATCACCATCCACCGCCAACTCTTGGGCTACTCTTTCATCAACGAATAGTAGGATTGGCCGTCACATTATAACGCTTCCACGGCTTAAAGGGCGAACATGTTCGTGGGACGGGGATTCGAACCCAATATCCTTAGATTGCGAGTCGAGCATCCCTAACCACTTGGCCATGCCGGGCCAGTATTGGCTTACAACTACATTAGGATCAACACTATAGAGATCTTTTAATAAAACACATAAACATGAGTTGTCTCATAATCTCAACTAAGCCTAAAGTGATAGTAACAGTGATAAAATACAAAGATACTAGATGTACTTCTGCAAGGTCCCCAAAAGTGTTCTGTTTCAAGGGTAAATAAAACAAAATTAAGAGTAACAGTTCATGCTGTGTTGTGCCTTATAGAGTGCATAATTCTTCTCGTGATTCATGGCTTGCGCACGTTTTACTGACGTCACGACAGTACAAATTTTCAGACAACACACTACTGTATCATGATGCGAGTAGATAAATAGGTCACCCCTCCTGGTGGCCACCTTTCGAGGAAATAAACTAGCTTTAATCAGGAGCGACATAAAAAATTGCATGCTAATTTACTGTATTTTCATTGACCAACAGGTTTAAAAAGTTGTTTGAAGTAAAATCAAAAGTTAAAATGGGTGTCATAAGAAGAGGTTTTATTTATTTGTTGTTGAGCGAAAAGTTAGATAATTTACTATCTGTGCCCTGCCCACCACGAGTATTAAAGCCCAATTTTTAGCGTTCTAAACCACCAGATTTATCACTGAGCCGGGGGGGGGGTTAGTTATTATTTTAGACAGTTTTTTTTTCTCCAACAAGAACGATGATTTTTGTTCCATATTTTTGAAATTGATAATATTTATTTAAAAAAACCTTAAATACAAACGCTTTTAAAGTTCCCTTTTCGATGTTTTTCAACCATGATGCAAGGAAAAAACATGCTAAATCTCTTACTCAATGGACAATTTAAAGTTTTCTTTCTCCTGTATAAATCCCGATTAGAAGTTTGGTTTGTTTCGAATTTCGCGCAAAGCTAAAAGAGGGCTATCTGAGTTAGTCGTCCCTAATTTAGCAGTGAAAGACTAGAGGGAAGGCAGCTAGTCATCATCACCCATCGTCAACTCTGGGGCTACTCTTTTACCATCACATTATAACGCCTCTACGGCTGAAAGGACAAGTATGTTTGGTGGGACGGGGATTTGGACCCGCAGATTGCGAATCAAGCGCCCTAACCATCTGGCCATGCCGGCCTGTTCAAAATTAGGAACTGCATGGGAGTTCCGATTTAACCGTTTAACCCATCTGCCCATTTAGGTAGAAAATACCAAAACTGTTTAGGTGAAGAAATAAGCAATAGGCACAAAATGTAAAGTGCATGTGTTTAACAGTTTCTGAGTTTATTTAGTTTACAATAGTCAAATTTTTATTTCCAGTTTTCGAAGGAATGTAAACTGTATTATTAATACAGTTTAATTTCCTGAGTTTTTCGTGTTTACTGCGAGCAAGTGTATTGTAACTTTTTTATTGTAATGTATTTGCGAAGAAAAATTATACATTTAAATCTTTTGTATACCTGTGGGGCCACCTTTCGGCAAAAATATTTATTCCATACCGCAATATATTCGAAATTTTCTGCATATAGACACACGCACAACTAGTAATGATAGAAAACAACAACTTTCTTTCTATACATTATAATATTGTGTTGTAATAACGTAAAACCTCTTGATTTAAAAAAAAATAAATTAACATTTTCAGAAGTGCTTTAATTTAGCCAGTTATACCAATTAAACAAACTGAAAAAAAAAAAACTAAGAGTTGAAAAAAGTCGTAGATTTTAAAGTTGCGCACTCTTTTTCAATCATTATTGTTGCGCCATCTACCGGACTAACATAAATTCAATTCACAAAACATTTGACCCTTAACAATAGTTGTCTGTGTAACAATGCTATCCAGTTTCTAATGCTTTTTATTGGTTAAATGGTGTCAAAATCAGCATTAGAAATCCGTGAATCTTCAAAACAGCATTAAAAATCCTAGAATCTCCAAACCACCAATAAAAAAACCGTGAATTTTCAAAAACAGTATTAAAATATTCATGAATCTATGGTGTAAACGATACTCATAAAGTGCTGGTATTTGCAAATCAACCAAACTTTAAAATTCTTGTATTGATTAATCTATACATAAAAGGTGTTTTTATTATTTTTAAACTAATACCTTCACAAAACCTACTACCCCTCTCGGGATTTCTAGTAATTAAAACTCTTCTAGTGTACACAAAAAACAGCACCTTGCAAAAACTATAGAGAAGACTTTTTGTCACATATTTTTTTTTCTT